TCCCTTGGCCGACCCCCTAAGGCTGCGGCGTGTTAACGGGGAATGCCGGCGGCCAATGTAGGGCCCAAGTACTGGTGGTTTAAATTATCAGACCTCAGCCCCCCCCCCACCCCACACCGACCCCCCCCGCCAAAAAAAAAAGCATGAAGAGCAGATGTCGAGACGTGTTTGTTTTTGTTCTGTCTGAAAATGCTGTCAAGCGGAAGTAGCAAGACCTTGAACAGCGACTTAGGCAGTTCGAAGCCATTCTGAAGATGTTGAGAAACAAAATAGTATCTGCTTTACTGTCTCTGCCTTTTGCCTTTGCGCTAACCTTTGCACTAACTGTGTGAAGCCTCTGGAAGTGTTCTCCTTGGTTCTTTGAATACTTTTCGGCGTGACGAAAATGTGGAAACTCCAGATCCATGTTGTTTACAATGATGACAACATTTTTGTTTTGTGATTCCTTCACCTTGTTTCTTTGAACCTCCAGTCGACCAGCGTCTCTCTCTCCATTCTCTGTGCTTCAAGATCCACCTCAAGCGTTCTTTGAAAATTTTGTGGCAAAATCAAAGAAAACGATTCCCATCAGTGCCTCAATCTCGGTGGCTCTCTTACCACCAACGGGATAGGCGCCGTGCACAAGGGCTTTAACCACTACCGTCTTCACCCGAATAGAACGCCCAGTCATTATAGCCGTTTCTGGTAGAACTTCGAGTCCAGAGACAGCTATAATGACCGGGTGTTCTATTCGGGTGAAGACGGTAGTACCTCTGCCAGTGTTAGGAAACTACGAGTTTTAGTCTGTTCCAGAAGAATTGGGGGGTGGGACCCAGGGTCGGCAAGTCCCACAAATCTTCGTTTTCTTTTGCCCGCATGTGAAAGGATGAAAGGGTAAAAAAAAAACACAAGCTTTCTGTACCGCAGTGAAGTCGGGCAGAGTAGTCTAGGAGTCCGTGCTTACAGTCTTCCTCTACAGAATGCATTTTACAGCTAACACGGTCATATTCTGAATGTTGTTATTTCCTTTTTTGTCTCTCTTGTTGTTCTTAAGAGTCCCCTGTCAATGAGGCAGAGGGCGGACTCCGTGATCTGCTCAAGCTGTGTTCCGTCAGAGGAGTATAACTTTGATCACACTGGGCATTTAGAGGAATGTATCCAGCGATATTCACGGCCGAATCCGTGTTGTGTTTTTTTTTTTTTTTTTTAATAATCTCTCTGGAATCTGACAACGTGGCCACGGGCCTGAGATGCCCTCATCGAGGGCGTTCACTGCCAAAGCTTTTTCCTTTTTTTCTGTCTTCTTTTGTGAGTTTCACGGCCGGGACTTTTCATCTCTTTTTTTTTTTTGTTCATTCCGTGAGAGTAGCAGAAAAGAAAATGGAGTGGGATCCAGGGTCAGAAAAACTCAGAGCGCAGTGAAATTCAGGGTAGGGTAGGCAAAAACAGCCTCCGGTGTACTAGTGGTTAAACAACAACAACAACAACAACAACAACAACAACAACAACAACAGCAACAACAACAAAAAAAAAAGAAGAAAAAAAAACGGAGTATATCTTGCGTCGAAAGCTTTCGTAATATAATATCCGATTTTGAAACTGGGAAATTCAGCTAAGGCGCCTCAATTGGCACCAGAGAAAGAGGTAGGCTAGGTGTAATGAACCCAGTCAGGTAGATGCTCAGAAGTCGTCAAACACCAGTAGTCTCAGTACCTGCAACAAAGTCTCCAAATTGTGAAGTGATATCTCAAACAGTATCTTATTACCATTAGACGAAGAGAGTGGAGGGGGATCAGACAGAGGAGAAGGTGGAAGAGATGATAAAAGATCTCACAAGAGTAATCCCGTCAAACCATACTTGCAAGCGGACGCCATCCAGGCGGTTCCGCACGTGCGGCAGACCGCCGGACCGGACCTGCGCGGCGCACGAATGTGCCCCAGACGACCAGTTAAGCCCCACCCCCCCCTCTGAAAAAAAAAACCATCCCCATCCGGTGCGGTCCAGGTCCGTCCGGTCCGGGGGGAGGGTGCCGCACACAGCAAAGCGGACCGGACCGGACGCTCATCCGGTCCATCTGCTTGCAAGTATGCATCAAAACCCTCTCCTTCTCCAGGCTTCTTCACTCTCCAATGACAACAACCAGAAGATGATGACAAGTATAGTAATCTTGATCACACATAATAGTGCCACGTGACACTCTCAGTAACGACGTCAATCTCAGGTGATTACCCGACCTCCCTCATCCACAGATCTCAGTAACGGCGACAATCTCAGGTGAGTACCTGACATAGCAGATTTCAGTAACGACATCAATCTCAGGTGAGCACCATAAAGACATAAAAGATTTCAGTAACGACGTCAATCTCAGGTGAGTACCCGACCTCCCTCATCCACAGATCTCAGTAACGACGTCAATCTCAGGTGAGTACCATAAAGACATAGCAGATTTCAGTAACGACGTCAATCTCAGGTGAGTACCCGACCTCCCTCATCCACAGATCCCGATCCTCCTCCTCCTCACAACCAATCACCTCATGTAGACAGCGTGGGCAATGCCACGTCAGCAACCAAGGCATGTGGCATACGCCACATCATCAATGCAATGTAGACTAGTAGCAGCGCCACATCATTATGCAATATAGACCAGAGGCAGCGCCACATAGACCCAAGGCAGCGCCACGTCAGCATGCACTGAAGACCAGAGGTAGCACCACATTAGCATGCATTGAAGACCAGAGGCAGGGCCACATAGATCATAGGCAGCGCCACATCAGCATGCCTGGCACACAAAACAAGAAGTGCCAGCCTTTTGCCTCCACCTCGTGCCGTCGTCAGCAACGCCTATGCACAACCAGCTTCCTAGCCAACCAGCTTCCTAGCCAGCGTCGCGCCAGCATAATGCCAGCGTCTCGTCAAAGTCGAGCCACTGTCAAAGCAGCATGGCCAGATTGAATGCTTGACTCACTCGAGGCCAGCCTTAAGTAGCAGTTTTTGAGGTTGTCTGAAGGGCCCGGATTATACAGTTGCAGACTTCTCCCTTGAACCTGATGTAATCTGGGTACTTGCATACAAACAAGTGTGTGTGCTTGACCGGCGGCTTGGGCTGGGTACCTTTGGACTTTGACTGTTGGGGTAACGACAGTTGACCAAAGTCAACTGTGACATGGTCAGACCCTGAGTCCTCGTGTGGGGTCTTTTTTGCCCCCGTTTCGATCTGGGCTAAGGGCTGCTGAGTTGACCCTCGGTCTTTCCACAAGACATATGACATGGGTTATTGCATTCTTGCCGGCCCAATTTTCGAGTTCCATCGCAGAAAATAAATTAATTCTCACGTTACCCATGTTCATATGCAGCAACAATGTCAAGAGCAGTAGGTAGGAGTTATTTCTTACTAAACCATCTGACTTCAAATGGGGGTTGAGACTTGAACTTCACCTTGTACCGGTTCTGAGGTTAACGGTGATTGTTAGCTTGGTCAATCATTTGTAGTTGGGCTTTTTGTATATTTTCCTTAACCTTGTTAATGTCGTCTTCATACAAAACTGC